GTTTGACCTACTTGAGCCTTAGTTTTCTCATCAACAAAATGGGCATAACAGTTCTTGCCTAGGGGCGCCTGGGTGGCTCAGTTGGTTAAGCAACTGCCTTCGGCTCAGGTCACGATCCTGGAGTCCGGGGATCGAGTCCCGCATCGGACTCCCTGCTCAGCGGGGAGTCTGCTTCTCCCTCTGACCCTCCCCCCTCTCATGCTCTCTCTCTCTCTCTCTCCCTCATTCTCTCTCTCAAATAATAAAAAAAAAAAAACAGTTCTTGCCTAATAGGCTTGCAGTGGAATGCCTGTTACAGTGCCTGGCACATATAGAAAATACTCAGTAAATGGTAGCTATGAGCTCTAATTTGTCTTAGTGTCTGGGTCTTCTTCACACAGGGCAGGAGGTACAAGATGGTAGAGAAAGAGGGATTCTGGAGCTACCCTACCTGGCAGGTGAGTTTCCTTCTACTCTCCAACTTGAAAGTGCTGTGGATGAGTGCAGTGTGTTGGGATGCATGGCATTTCTGGAAACTTCTCAGTAAGAACGTGTGACAGGGGCGCCTGGGTGGCTCAGTCGGTTAAGCGTCTGCCTTGGGCTCAGGTCATGATCCTGGGGACCCAAGATCGAGCTCCACGTGGGGCTCCCTGCTCAGCAAGGAGTCTGCTTCTCCCTCTCCCTCTCCCCTTCCCCCCGCTCTTGCTCTCTCTCTCAAATAAATAAATAAAATATTAAAAAAAAAAAGAACATGTGACAGACAGAACCTATTGGGGGTGGTGAGAATTGAACCCAGCTGGTTGTACTCACACCCAGTAGCATCAAAGTCTGGTCCGGGACAAGACTGCTTCTTCCCAGGCACTACTATACGTTAACTATTAAACACTTCTGAGTAGTCAGAAGATCAGCAGTAGCCTCTGCCTACCAAATGCCTACTATGTGCCGAGGGGGTTTCCATTCGTCATTTCATTTAATTAACGCCATAACATTTCGAGGTGGGTGTTTTTATTCCCTTCGTGGGAAGAGAAAACTGAAGCTCACTGAGGTTGAATAACTTACCTGAAGTCACATAGCTAGAAAGTTAACAGAGCTGAGATTTGCCCTTTTTTTGAGAGAGAGAGAGAGAGAGAACGAGAGCGGGGTAGGGGGCAGAGGAAGAGGGAGAGGGAGAATCTTAAGCAGGCTCCACGCCCAGTGCAGAGCCCGACCCGGGGCTTGATCTCACAACCCTGAGATGGTGACCTGAGCCAAAATCAGAGTGGGATGCTTAACTGACTGTGCCACCCAGGTGCCCCAACAGAGCTGAGATTTGAACCGCAGGGTTTCTTTCACTCTTGAGCCCATGTAGTTAAGCAGTGATGCATGCCCACCTGTGAGGTAGTGTGACCATACCCGTGATGTAGACAAGGAAGCTGAGGCTCAGAGAAGTGAAATAACTCAGCAGAAACAGATAGGTGGCTGGAAAATGGGAGAGCCCGACATTGTCCTTGGGATGGTCTAATTCTGACGTGTACATGTTCCCCATTAGACTAAACTCCCTGTCAAGGAAGGTCACTGGACCCATTTTGCAGATGAGGACGCTGAGGAGCCGAGAGAAAAAGCAAAGCCTCATGGAAGGAGACTTGGCAGGGGAGGGGAAGTCTCTGAGTGCGATGGGGCCCTGGCAGAGGTATCCCTAAGCAGGATCAGGCTGGGTCCCCAGCCCAGTTCTCTCCCTAGACATTTGCAGGGCAGATTAGAAGGAAATGACTGTCAGAAGCAGAAGGGAAGACAGAAAGCTCAAGAGAGTATGGAAGGCCCAGAGAACCCGGCGACACTTTGCTCCTGCTGGTGAGGGTATGGCATATGCTGCTGCTTTTGTAATACCACTTGCAAGTGCCATCTCATGATTTCTTGTCACCTTCCTGTGTCACTACCCAGCTGTGAGTCCCTGCGGAAGTGGACAGGGCAGAGGGCCGTGGGACCAGCCTCCCCAGTTCACAGTGCCCAGTGATAGAAGCCTTGCTTCTGCTCCTGCAGAATTGTCTGCAGGGCCAGGGGTGGGCTGGGACCAGACTGGATGGTGGGGAGCAGAGCAGGGATCTGCCTCTTCTGCCCAGATGTGGAGGAAGCTCACCCAATCCTGGAGAAAAAGCTGGCAAAATGAGGGGGAAAAAAAGGAAACTAGAGTAAAAGACACCGAGCCTCCCAGAGACTTAGCAGCTAAGGTGGGGCAATGGCCACGCTCAGGGGACCAGGAAATCACACTGAACTAGAAACAAGGTTTGAAGTGACCTATTAATCCGCCCCTACAGAATCCTTCATGCCCACCTCCTCTGTGGTTTAGAGGGTGAGCCGGAGCCCTCCTCCCTGGAGACCCAGAGAAGCTCACACAAAGCAAGGCACAATGCAATCTCCCTTCCCTGCCCTGGAGAGGTGGGCTTCTCAGCTCTCTCCCTGTGTCGCCATGTAGATCAGGCACCATCTGGCAACCTCTAATAATTCTTCTTCTTCTTCTTCTTCTTCTTCTTCTTCTTCTTCTTCTTCTTCTTCTTCTTCTTCTTCCTCTTCTTCTTCCTCCTCTCTTCTTCTTCTTCTTCTTCTTCTTCTTCTTCTTCTTCTTCTTCTTCTTCTTCTTCTTCTTCTTCTTTTAACCACTCTCTTGTTTGGGGCAGAAAGGATGGCAAGTTTGCGCTTGTCCCCCAGCCCTATACATAATTGGTGGCAGCAGGCAAAGCAGCTTCAAGGGGAGGGGTTTGCCAATGGAATGAAGGAGGGAGGGAGTCCTAGAGTGACAGAGCTGGAAGGGACCTGGGAGATCACTTGACCCAAACTTTTGTGGCCTCCACACCATTCCTGTGAACTGTGTGCTTCCATCCCTACCATCATCTCACATGCCAAGCAGGAGTTCTCAAGACCTCCTCCCCCAGGCTTCCTAAGGGCACTGTCTCCTGCCTCCTTTCCACTAAGGAGCTAATCCACCCTCTTGTTTTCTAGATAACACTGAGGCTCATTGAGATGTGACTTGCCCAAAGGCAATCTTCGTTCCAGGATAGAGCCAGAACAAAACCCCAAATGCTTGAGACTTTCCATCCTCCTACTCTTCTATTCAATCCCTAGGGAAGGAAGGGCTCAATTCTTCTCCCTGGGGGCTCAGGAGACCTCTGACGTACCACACCTGTCACCTAGCTGATGTGGGCTGCCAGTGTCAAGTTTGTCTAAGAACGGAGTTATTTTCAGGATGATTCTAGTCATTTCCCTTCCTCCCGGGTATCCTGAGGGCTTTGTGAGGTTAGTCTGGGTTCCACTTGCCTCTTCCCCGAAAAAATTGGTTCTGAAGTGTAAGTAACTGCCTGGAACCTGGCATGGTCTCAGGCTGACTGAGCTCCACACTCCAAGGAAGCCCTCACCGCTTTCCTCTAGGATGAAAGGAGAGAAGACGCCGAACTCTAAATCCACCCAGGAGGCAGTGTTCATGGTTCAGAGACACTGCTCTTTGTATACTTTTTGCCCTTATTTTTTGCAAATATCATTTATCTTTCCTCCGCTGCCAGCAGTTGGAGATAAGAAGAGCTCGGAATGGACTGGTTGGGACCGCAACTTGAAGCTGTGAGGGCAGGTTTGGAAAAGTGTGCTGCGCTGATCTTTGTGTCTGTATTTACACGCACAGGCATATTCCTATGGGTTAGCTTTTGCCCCTGTACTGAGTGCTTGAGAGTGTTTTATATGTGAGCCCACCTCTATATGGGCAGGGTGACTCAGTGGGCTACCTCCAAGGCCTTAACTGCAAGGGAGTCTACCCTGGAGCTGGCAGTTTGATCTGGGGGAAGGCTACCTTCTTCTTGGTCCTCAATTAAAGTGGACTCAGCACTAGGAAGGAGCACTGAGACCCGAGGGTGGGTGGGGGGGCGGTGGAGGTAAGAGTTGGCAGGGCGCCCTTCGGTCCGAAGTCGGAGCCCCTCTCGGTTTTTCGAGGTCCAACGTGGCCGTGTCTCGCGTGTCGGGCTGTGTCGGGCGGGCGTGCCGGAGTGCCCGTGCGATCCCGTCCGCCCCAGCCTCCCCGACACCCCGAGCTCTCTTTGTCTCCTCGTGGAGGTGTGCGTGCAAACCTGCGTTGCACGGCCCTCATCTCGTGCGAGCGCCGGGGCGCACCCTAGCTCCCCCACTCTTCCCGCGGGGAGAGAGAAGGAGCCGGAGCCCGGTGCTGTTTGGTCTGGAGCCGAGCGGGGCTTGCATTGATCCATTGATTGTGCGCGGTCTGCGCCTGACCTCCCTGCTCCCGGGGAAGCCGTCTCCATGGAGACCGGGCCCGCTCCCCCAGCGCCGGATTGTAAATTCCTGCAGGCAGCGGCCCGGCAGCCTGGGGAGGGGGCCGCCGCGCCCGGGCGCGCAGGGGGAGCGGCCGCCGCGCCGAGGCCCCATTTGAAAGAAAAAAGGGCACGAAAAAGGAGGTGGTGGAGGAGGAGGGGGAGGAGGAAGAAAACGAAAAGGAGCGAGGAGAGGAGGAGAAAGAGGAGGAGGAGGAGGAGAAAGGCGAAGAAAAAGAGACGGAGCCTGAGAGACGGAGAAGGAGCGAGAGAGGAAGAAAGAGAGGCAGAAAGGGCGTGTTTCTGGCGCTGCGTTTCCCCTCCCCTTTCTCAGGTCCCTCGCTCAGGCTCTGCGCGCTCTCCGGCGGCAGCTCTCTCCGGGCGAAGCTGGGAATTGGGTGGGATTATACGGAGCGGCCCCGCCGCCGCCGCCGCTAGCAGAGCCGGGCTCGGAGAGGGCGGGGGTTCCCCTCCCTCATTGGCGCCGGGCGCCCCCCCAGCCTCGTCGCGCTCTCCGCCTCGCTCTCCCCGGCGTCGGGCCGGGAGAAGCCGGCAGCATCGCGAGCCTCCCGCCGAGGGCGCCGCGGTCCGCGCCCCGAGCCCGCAGCCCCCGGCCCGGCCCCGGCGGGGCGCCCCCTCCCCTCCCCCCTCCGGCGCGCGGGGGCCCGGCCGGCTTCCGCCCGTCCCGGGGCTGCGAGACCCGCCCCGGCCGCCCGGCCGCCGGTGGCTCCAGCCATGGGCTCGGGGCGCGTGCCCGGGCTCTGCCTGCTCGTCCTGCTGGTCCACGCCCGCGCCGCGCAGCACAGCAAAGCCGCGCAAGGTAAGGAAGGAGGGGCGCACGGCGGCGGGGGCTGCGGGGGCCCGAGGGCTGGGGGGGGCGCGATTTCCGAGGGGCAGGGCAGGTGCTGGGAAGCGTGCCGCTGTCAGAACCCAGCACCGTGCACCCGCACTCCGGCCGGGGACCTGACCTCTCTCCGGGCGCTGCGTCCCGGGCAAAAGGCTGGAGGAGCCAGGAGCGACGCGGAGGAGTGAGAAGTTTGGGGGGCCCTAGGCAGAAGTCGCCACGCACCTCAGAATTCTGCCCGACTTCATTGCCACCCCAGCATCTTCGAAAGACTTCTTGTCCTCCAAAAGTACGAGAGAGGATCTTCTCTTCTCTCAGACATTGCCAGAAACTTAAGCTGTGGCCTGGAGAGACGGAGAGAATGAAACTTTTCAGCCACGCCATGTATTTCTTCCCCTCACCCCCAACCCTCCTGCAAAGTCAGACAAAATTTCCAAGTTGTTGTCTTATCAGTAGAAAAATGTTAAAGAAAAATAGGATCTTTTCTGGAAAGACCAGCTCGTCTCTCACTGGAGGGTAGGGGGCTGAAGAAGAGAAGAAAATTTCTGACTGGCTCCCAGCAAGAATGTCGCTTTCTGCCTCTTTGGGGGGAAATCTCTTTCGTCTTGCATGGCTTTCATTTCTTATCATAATATTTATTTATTAAGGCCTCGGGTTTCCAATTCCATTTAAATCCAGGTCAGAATTGCATTAAAATAACAAAGTAAAATTCCAGGCTGGGGAGCTCTGACAGATCCCTCTAGGAATTAAAGGGAGAGAGACAGGGAGGCCCTCCGGCCCCCATCCCTGACCCCAGGCTCATTGCTTGGCCAGTCCCAAGGCTTTGCTGGCAGAAACCAGGCTGGTGGGCTACAGTTCTCTTGGGGACAGCCTCCCCTCCCCCTTGACCTCTTGCTGCACCCTTCCCCCCATCATGTCCTCACCCAGGAAGAGATTTATATGGACAAAAAGAAAATTCCTCCTGGCAAGGCTTTGCGGAGGAGGATATGATTCTGCCTATTGTCCCAGGGGCTCCCGAAGCCAAGCTGGGGTGTGGAAGTGGCTGAGCCAGAAGGGAAAGTTGAACTTGGGAATTGGGGAAGCCTGAGTCTCTGGCAGTCAGGTCGCTGTGTCCTGGAGCCTGAGTGCCTGGCTCTTAAGCTGCTTTTGTGTACTGGATGGGCTCCCACTCTGGTAAAAGGGAGGTGCTATATCAACGCCAGTCTCTTCTCCCAAATGCTGCCTCTTCAACTACCTCCTTCTTCCTCCAACCTGTCCTTTAGCAGAGCCCAAGGACTGGAGATCGCAGCTGTCACATACCAGACCCCAACCCCACCCCCTTCCAACCCCAAACTGCCTCTTCGCCAGTCCTGGTTCCAGACAGCCCACTAACACTGCCACCACCCCCGCCCCCCGCAGCCTGGAAGCAGCCCCTCTCCCACTGTGGATTTGCTTGTGTTTTCATAAACAAAGCTGGCTTTTGTAGTGTGTGCTGACTTACTCATAACATGGAATTAGCTAGGGAGTTTAGTCTGAAGGAAGGAACGGATTTCATTCAGTAATCTAGAGACAAGATAAGGGCCTCTTTCAAGTTGGAGCCAGTGTCTGTAGTGGCCTAGTGAGACTGGGGGGCTGGGGGCAAAAGGGGGAGCAAACAGAATATTCAGGGGATTCCCAGGGCTGATGGAGACTCCTAGAAGGGACAGGTGCCGGGGGGGCGGGGTTCAGCTCATCCTTCAGGGATGGAAGGATTCAAAATCCGTCCAAGGTGTTCTGGGGCTCCCTCTTTCATCAGACACCCTGCTGGGTGCTGTTGGGGGGGTACAGCTAGATTGGAGGCCCCCTGCCCTCAAGGAACTTACATCCTCATAGTTTTGTTCACTACTTATATTCAGGCCACAGTCACTCGCCCTGACTGGGCCGCAGTTATCTGTGTTTCTTCCTTCTGATCCCTGAGTCTAGCCTGGCATGGACTCGAAGCCTGTCATTTCAGCTACCTTTGACGCTGCTGTTCAGGAACTGTATCAACCTGGTCTGCCAGAGATTGCCTAACGACAGGTCTGTTGGGCTAGAGGGATGTCTCTGGACCCAAATCTGCAGGCCAATGCCCTGGGAAAGACAAGCACTGAACCGGGCAGGGCAGCCTTACCCCTAGATGGAGTGCTGTGGCCATCCCTCGCTCCCAGACATATCTCCTGGGTATCACCAGGGCCAGCGGGTGTGTCTTCAATGCCACGTGCTTATAATCGAAGCTCTAGTGGGTGTCTTTAAACTGCAAAGACTCTTGGCAAATATCTTGCGCAGTTATTATACCTCTGGGTATAGTGTGTGTGTGCGAGTGTGTGCGTGTGTGTGCGTGTTTGTGTACAGTTACTATACTTCAGGGCCTTTTCTCCAGAGATTCCATGCCTCCCCCCCCAAGAATCAAAGTGGAAAGGGATAGGGAGGCAGGGAGGGACAAGGAAGGGAGCCTTGAGTGTGCAGGTGAGTATGTGTGTGTGTGTGTGTGTGTGTGTGAGAGAGAGAGAGAGAGAGAAAGAGAGAGGTTCCCCGCCATCACCCACGGGTGATACAGCTGGGTGTCTGTGTCTCTTGTGACTTGGTTATTAAGCCTGGATACGAAGGTTTTCGTGTCTTTGAGAACTGGGTGTGGATGAGTGGGTGGGTGAGCTTGTGTGACTGGGAATGAGTGAGCATGAGGGTACATGGTTTTGAGTGTTTTTCAAGTGCCTGTCTGTGTATTTTAAAGTAGACAGACTGGATAACCAAGATAATTGTTAACTTAAAAGCATTAATTTGCTTTGCTTTTTGGGGGGGGCTGTGCAGCAGTGGTTAAAAAGACCTAATCCTTGCTTAGGGCTCAGGTTACAGCTGAATGAAAAGGTCTCCTGGCCTCCCGGGGGGAAAACTTGTCCCCAGGGCGGGCTCAGGGAGAGTCAGCCTGGCCGTTTAGTTTACCTGGTTGTTTTCTCTTCTCATTAGGGATAAAATGTTGATAAAGTCGTGTATTTAGAGTTCCCAAGTAACACCATCCCTGGGACTGAGAGCGTTCATCTGGTGGCAAACAGTGTCTCTCTGTCTCCGCGCGTCTCTCCGGGTCTCTGTCTGGGTGTATGTGTGTCTCTCTCTTTCTTTCCCCCACCCCTCTCTTCCTCTTTAATGTGGCTATTTCCTCTCCTCCCCGCTTCCCTGGGCTCCTGTGGCCAGCTCTTACAGTGAGGGGACTGTTCCTCCTAGCCCCTCCCTCCAAAATATGAAATGAAAACCATAACCGTGTCAGCGGGTGAGGGTGGCCCCGTGGGTAGCCGGCTATTGCCCGTGCCCCATCCAGGCCACACTGGAGAGAGAGAGAGAGAGAGTCAGTCCCCACTCTTGGAGCCTGATCTTAAATCAGTTGCTTCTAAGCCTGTCTCCCCGCGCCCCCCCCCCCCCCCCCTCCATTTTTCCAGAAGGGTGGAGAAGGGGGATGGACTGCTTAGAAATTCCTCAGGAATCCCTTTGACCTCTCTTCTCTCAGTGACATGTCCCCTGGGGAGGTGGGGAAAGCCTGGGGCCAGGGGAGCACTTCTCCACTTCTTACCCCTCATCTCCTTGAGTCTCTGCAGAGTGGAATGTGAGAGAGGGGAGCGGAAGACACCAAGGCCAGAATTACCACAGGCAGAGAAAGAAGAAAGTTATCAGCCACCCCTAAATGAGATTGTTTTCTGAAACCTTCAGGAATCTGAGAGCATGAGAACCGGTTTGAGATGTGAGCGGCCGGGACCTGTTGTAAAAGGAGCCAGCCCTGGGTGTGAGTTTGGGAATGCGAGGTGTGCATTCACTGGGGCGTGCGAGCGTGCGTGTGCATGATTCAGGGTGTGTGTGTGTGTGTGCGTGTGTGTGTGTGTGTGTGTGTATCCCCCCCCCCCGTGTGTGCGTGCGCAGTGCTCCGGTGAGAGGAAAAGGGAAGCAGGGCAATGTGCGTTTTGTTTTCGTTGGAGAAGTCAAGAAGTGGAATGGCTTGGTCCAGTGCCTTGGATTGAGGGTGGGGGAAGGGAACGGAACGGGTAGTTTCAGACCCTCTTGCGAAGATGGAGGTGGGGGAGCTTGCTGCCTGAACTCACCCCAGTCCCTGCCCCCAGCTCTGGTCCCCGTGTGTCAGGGTGTGGGCCTCCCTTGACGTCCCGTACCCCTAGCACATGACCACTTCTAAGAAAGAGTCCCTGTCAGGGCTGGAAACTGCAGAGCTGCTCTGAGGCTGGCAGTGCCCGCAAGAGGCCCAGGCCTGGGGACAGCTTCTTCGGGTTCAGTTATAAGACAGCAGTCTGGAAACAGAGGGACGGCTGGGCCTTGGGCAGGGAGGAGTGATACAACGGCTAACTCAGGGATGTCTGAGGGGTAGAGATAGGCACCTGGGTGAAGAGGGAACACAGGCCCTCCCCTCTCCCCATTGGCCCCTCTGTCACCAGACTGGCCGCTTTCCTCCCATGCCCGCGTACGGCCAGCTCCAAATGGCATGTGGTGGGGCGTTTGGTGCCAGTGGGTTGGTAGACGCGGAGCCCGAGTTTTGGGGCCTTTGAGGAAATCATTGAAATTCCCTTCCTCACTTGTAAAATGGACTAGAGTATCAGGAGGCTCCCTCTCTGCTCTGAGATTCTGCACATCTCATCGAAATCCTTCCTGCTGGAAGGCAGAAAACACTATAGCAAGCCTCGGTCCTGCCCCCAGGCCTCATTGGGCCTTCCCGCCCAACACTCAGGCCCTCTGCTTCCTGAGCCCTCCTCTACTACTCCCTGCCCGAGTCTGTCATGGCTACTCCTCCTTTCTTCCCCCACCCCAGTTTCCTGGGGCCCCAAGTACCCGATTGCTCTGCATCCTTTAAGTAGAGTCTCTCCCCCTGGAAAGAGCCCCTACAAAACAAGTGTGTTTCTGGGCGTGCATGTGTGTGTGAATGTGTGTGTATCCAGCAACTTTGGGTAAGGGAGCTGCAATGGTTGTGTTCTGGGAACTGAATACTA